ACAGCAGCACACCATGCTAAGTGCCAAGTTACTCGTCACGCTGCTCGGACCTAAGGGGGAAATCAGATCTCCATCCACTGGACCTTCCCACTTTCTTTTGGGAGTTGAAACTATTTGGTATCTCAGTTCCCTAAGGCAGGTTACACCACTGGAGAAATGAAGAGATTTACTTTTCCTCAATCAACTGATAGCACTGGACAAAAATCTAAGTAGCACTCACAGTATATTATGGCACTCACAATATATTATAGCATTGTGTGCTGGAAAATAGAAATAAAATACCTGCAAAATCTGCTGCCAACAGGTCTACCGCCTTTAAAACTTTGACTTGCAAGAAGCCAATATCCTTCATGTCCCGAAAAGAATTCTTTATACACTGCAAGAAGAAAAGCATAAAGATGTATCTTGTTTGTAATCAGTAAGAAACAGAAAACACTGAACTGCTAAGTGACTTACATTTTTATATGTATCACTATTTCTGTGGTGCTTCAGTTCAGAGCTGATACACCCATAAATACACCTCCACTATTCCACTCTCATTGTATCATGACCCTGAGGTTCGCAGCTTCACAGGTACCTGCTCTGAAGGAAATTCTCCATTCATGTAAGTTATCCGTTAACTTTATGGTGGAGACTGAAGGGAGCCCTGCATGTTTATGCAACCATCATCTGCCAATTAAAGCAGAAAATGGGACAGGGGTAGACCTGGAGAAGCAGCATGGCTTGGGAAGGCAGCATACTCAATCGGGGTTGAGGAATCTCTCCTCAAAAGTAACTTCAACTCATGGCGTTCAAACTCTCACACCTCAGTCTCGCAGCCTATTTTAGACAAATGCACTTCTTGCCCAGCTTTTGAGGACTGAGGTGTGGAAGCCATAGTATGGCTTTATCTTCCAACAGTTGAAAGTCTAGAAAATATCCTCCCCAAAGCAGTAAAGAAAGCTAAGGATGCTATGATCCCTCCATGATATTCAGTGTCTCATTCCCCATGATAATCTCTCAATACAATTCGAGTTTGCAAAGAAAAGTGTTAGTTTAAAACTCAACAAATACAAGCGGATAAATTGCTTGGGTCTATCTGCCCTGCCAATCTCCTTGCCATTCTAAACAAAATAACTGTGCTATGTAATAGTTTTCTCTGGTACGAGACATGTTATTGTGACTGGACAAATCTTTCTCCTTCCCCTCTACAATTCTGACTACTTCCAAAACTAAAAGGAGAAAAAAAGAAAAAACCCAAACTCACATAGCGCTGTGAAATCTGTTGCCGTTCGCTGGGGTCTCCCAAAGGGCAGACACACAGATCAGAGATAGAGACTCCTGTACACGGGGTGACAGCAATCAACATTAGCAGGGACCCCTGATGATTTTCCAGAGGCAGCTCTAAACAATTGGTCTGCTTCGTCGGCAGGGCATTAACGTCAACTTGGCACCTAGAACAACATTGCCAAGGGTTAATAAGAAAAAAGAGCTGGGGGGGTGGGAATACATCAGCATTTACATTGATTTCAGTAGCAAGCAGGCACCAAAACTCACTGCTTGTTCAGGATAGAAAGAAAGCCAAAAAAAATCATCTCAAAATTAAACATGGGAAACCAATTGGCCAGTTTCTATTGCACTTACTGTCAAGTTTTGCTTTCTGGTTCTCCTACTGGTACGCAGAGGTAAAAGGTTTGGGCTGCAAAGTACAGTAGGAAAACTTCACTCTGGCCTGCCTCACTTCCCCTCTAAAATCCCCTAGAGCTTTGTGATGGATTTGAAACACAATTTTATTTCACCTGGGGGAAAAGAAAAGGGGCAAACACAAAATTTAAAACATTAGCCTAAAATAGATTAGTTTCTTTAAAGTCACATACTCCATTTTCTGCTACATTATACTGTATGCCCCAATCTCTTTTACAGGCCTTACCAGAGCTGCATTTTCAGTGTACTGTTATATTTCCCAAAGGGAAGGACTGTCTTAAAAGTCCCTCCACCCCCTGCACATAACATGTATCATTAACCTGATATTTCCCCAAAAAATAACAATAAGAAGGAAAAAAGGGAAACCTTCATAAAGAGACAATAATAAAAGATGAGCATGGGCTAAAGCAGAGAGAGACAGCCAGTTTTACGTGAAGGGAGCGGTTAAATGCTACAGAAACCCTAATCACTTGGCTCGGCTAAATGCCTTCTATTTAGAAGTCCAGTAAATGGAGTGGAACTTTTTTGAACCTCCACGGGGCTTGGCTTTTAAGAACAGGCTGAACAAAAGTTACAGATGAAAAAGGAAAAAAAAGAAAATAAGGAAGGAGCAGCTTTGTTGCCACAGTGCAAGGGGAGTCACATTTCTCAAAGGGACGGTGAGCGGATGATGGAGAGCGAGAGCTTTCGCTCCGCTTAATGCCTGCCGACAAGTTTTTATTTAAACTAAACTTGTTAAGGTGTTGTCTTAATAGGCTAAAATTCCACAGGGTTCCCCCAGGTGGGTTTCTTCTGGGTAAATGGTGCATGTAGTGCTCCTGATTGATCCCATTCCAGTAGTAGAACTGGAGCAGTTTATACCCATCTGCTATAAATTGCATGCTTTCCGCTTCTTAACAGCCTATTTTCTGTGAATGTTAAGGGGAGGGGAAAAAAAATAAAAATCTGAAAACATTTCAGCCTGAAAACCCAACAAACTATGTTATGAAATAAAAGTCATAACTCCAATGAGTTTGTAAGTCATCCAGCAGCTCTGTGTATTAAAAGACAGCTCTTTGTGTAAGCTGCTTCTCACCAGAATCAATGGGGATGACTTTGCCTTAAGTGAGCTCTTTGCTATTCACTGCACTGAACATACAACAGGTTGCAAGTTTACTCTTATTCTCTGCTTTCAAGTGCTTTGAAAGAGAAAGAAAATAAACCAGGAAAGAGGACCAAAACTGTCTGACGTGCAGGCTGCCTCTCAGCACTATTTCCAAGTGCGAGAGGTTGCATTTAAAGCTCATCGCTAAGCCTAGACCCTTCAGAAAGATACAACAAGAGAAGATACAGCAGAAAGGAAAATAAAACAACAAAAAAAAGGCAAGCATTTGAGAAAAAGACCTTATCACTTCCACACTGGAGGTCAACATCACCTTGGCTGCATTAACACAGCCACTTCTGATACTGCAGAAGTTTTAGGTATCAGTGCAAAAGGGGGGATGTATCATTATCTTGGGTTTTGGGGGGGTTTGTTTTGTCTTTTTACAGATGGAGAAACTGAAGCAAGGAGAGGGGAAAGCTCAGGGTCACCCAGCTGGTCTGCGGATCAGCTGGCAGCGGAGGCCACGGCTCCCACATCAGCATTTCATACACCACCCACTCACCACAGGCCGTAACTGGGAAAAGCTGCATTTGCTTTTTATGTCAAGAACTTTCCATGGGGTAAAGAGAGAGAAAAGACAACTCATCCAGACAACAGTGCATCTTCCACCAGTATAACCTCAGAAACCTCTCACATCTCAAAGGCACAGTTCAACATAATTCTAGCTAGTTCTGGCAAACTGGAATTCTCTTATTAAAAGAATTCGACTAGCCAAAGGTCAGTGAAAAGACTGAGTATAAGGGCGTAGGGGTAGAAGCGATGCACATGTGGAGGGGAAAACAGCAGGAGGTGGAGTATAAGCATTTCTTCCTCAAATCATGTCTGATTTCTGTGCAAACTAACTTCCTTAAAACATCTGTGTTCACTCAAGGTGATGGTATGCCTCTCTATTTTCTTTTGAGGAACTGAAAAGAAACTCCACATTTGCACTTGCAAACAGCAAAAGGTTTAAGAAAAAAATAGACAATTTGTTTCATTTAGGTTATACAACATAACTGATCAGACTGCAAAGAATGCAGCTTGGTAAAACAATTAGACATTCAATTTACTGTATAAATTCAACAGCTTCCACACAAACACTTCTACCCTATTAAAACAAGTCTAATGATTTCCAAACTGTTAACAACATTCTCCTGAAACAGAAACTCTCCCTTTCCTTCTTTCTCAGCTTTCTATCTGCAACGCATTATTACAGATAATTATTTCACAGAAAAGTAGTAAGACTATTGCGATGGGCACAGTGTAAATCTAATGGAGGCAAACCACTTTTTGCTCGAAAGCTGCCTGATCTGAATACAAAGGGCAAAACTCAGATTATTTGTGTTTCAGGTGATGCAAATGATCTATGAGTTAAAGCCTCAACATAATCCTGTCTGAGAACAGGATAGCTCTGTTGTCATCTTTTTCTACATTGCACATTAAATCCAGGTATAATCTTCCAGTACATGGCTACATGCGAGACCTATAGGGGATACAGTTCTGGAAGTTAAGAGTGCATTGTGCATGCAAATGTATCACTTTTCTCTTTTTTTTTTTAACCACAATTAATTAAATGTTTTCCTTCCTCCTCCTGATCAATATTGAGGTCTACACCTCTATATTAACCTCTAGTCCTGTAGAGGATTACACTACAGCTCCAGTTTTCATTTAAGACTGTTCTTTTGACTTACAGCCCCTCACGTTCAGCTGCCAAACTCCTTTTTTTGCCCCTTTTTTATTCATTCTGCAGAGAAATACTACTTGAGAACACTACACAGTAAATAATTTGCTTAACTGTATCATGGAATCAAGTGTTAAAATTTCACTAAAAGGTGCTGAGCTTTGCCTCTTGCCACAAAATAATGGTGTTGTATTTTATTACCCAGTCTGCAGTTCATCAAGCTATACGTATCCTTAAACATACATAAATACATACAAAAAAAAATCTGCACACAACATTGCCATTTTTCCCCTGCAGAATCCTTGAAAGCCCTTCACAACAGAGGTCAGATCCAGTATCACAGTAAGATGCATCTCTGATTAATATTTGGAAAGGAATTTCAAATGTCATAGGTGTCAGGGAGACAATTAATAAAGTCTTATTCTGACTTATTTGGCAGATAAGTTTTGGTTGTCTGAGTCTTCCTATAGATTGGTGAAATTTAAATGAAAGATTTGGACACAGCCATAGCAGATTTTACTGCTCCATTTGAACAGCATGGCCTTTAAAATAAGGATAGTTTCTTGTTGCAAAGACACTGTTTCCTGGAGGCATTCATCATAAAGATATTGGATGCACTCCAATCTCACAGCTCATGGTCCTAAGTCTAGCAGCTTTTGTAAAATCTCTTTTTTGAGGTAAATATGTGAAGAAAAAACCTCCAACGTTCTAGAGCATCTCTTTTTCAAAACATATCCCTTAATGCAGTAACACTCCCTAACAGCTTGGCATAAACAATTTGACTCTGTCTGGACAAATTCTGCACACGTTAACACCTTTGTTTATTAATACACATTAACATGGTCTCCTGTTTATAGCATGCCTCTTATCCCAAAGGACACAAAAAGCACTCAATAAATGTTACTAACAGTCCTGTGCAGACTAAATAGAGGGATTATTTCATCCAGGACCAAAATACAGCCACCCCTCAGTGTCGGACCTTGGCAGCTGAACCCCTCCAGGCTGCAGCATTTTAAGAGAGGCAGAGAAACTGGATCCAGTTGAAAACCTAAGGAGAGCGCAGGTAGGCTGAACAAAATAATTCAGCTTGCGATGTGCACTGACAGTGAGGGTTCATTTCCTGGTAGAAGGGTGACATGAAATCGCACCGAATGTTTCCTTGCTAATGCAGAAGCAGACGAAGGCCCCAGGTGTTAGCGTTTAGTACCGGAGGTCCAACACATTTCTTACTCTATGTTCCATGGTCTCCACAGACGCTTCAGGTCCTATTTCAAGAACAATATTTTACCTCGAAAGCAAATTATGCCTGGGAGACGGGCCATGTTCCAGGGGCTTAAGGCATCCATCCTACATGAAATCCTGGGTCTAAGACAATTAACAGAAGTCTTCATTCCACAAAGGTTCAGAAGTCTGGATTAGCAGACGTGACTCACCTTGTGCATCTCCTCAACTTCATTTAAATATTAAAAATTTACATGTATTTAAAGGTCTAACCAACACAGTTCAGTGGGCTTAATGAATCCTAATTCTATCCACAAACTGACCACAGAACTATTAATTCAGATTGAGCAAATTTTGCCTATTCCTTAAAACCACGCAAATTCTTTGAGGGCAGTTAGGGTGTATTGCTCCGTGTAATGACCAAATAAAACCCACAAATATTTTACTGAAGAATCTTTCTTACAATGACATTGTGAAATCCAGAAATCTCAAAACTCAACTTGGAAGTCATGGAGACAATAAACCTGGCACCTCATAACGCTTTTTTTCCTACAGAACCCTTTTCCAGATTAGGCTGCATTTGAACCCTTCATAAAATATAATTTATTAGGTGTCAAAAGTTTCTACACTGTAAAAACAAGACTTGGTGTTATGCATTTGGTGTTCACGTATTCTTGCAATTGCGTTTTAAAATTCAGTATCTTTTTTACCTGTTTGGATGCTACAAGCGAATTTGCCGCACTTATGACAACAGCAGCAATGTGGATATATTGAATATTTTCTCTTCACATAAACAGCAAAAATAACTTTATGGTAAATCTAACACATGCAGGCTTCCCAGTGCTGAAATCTTTAATAACAGAATAAGGATTTTGCTCATAATTTTTGCCACATTGAACACCACCTGCCAGAAACAGTAGAAAAAGAGGGGGAAACCTAAAGAAGAATTGCTCTGGCATCACGGAGACTGAAGACAAGCAAGCCACAAGCACTGCTACATTTCCTAAGACTAAAGAGAATATCAGGAGTAATTAAAGTTTCTGTGAGAATGGAAGGAACAGATTCATCTTCAGCCACTTCTCCATGCGATGAGCAACAGCATTCAGCCAGAAAGCATTTCCTGCTCTGCAAAACCACAAACATTTGTAGAGCCAAAGGGCATTGTTCTTCCCAGTGAATAGTTTCAAACTATTTGAATGCCTGAAGTAAGAGAATGTTCTTATGCTACTGCTATTTAGTCAGCAAGTTGTGAAACCCTCGCCAGGTGAGAACAGCAAACCACCACAGACAGGATGAGCCCTGCCCCTGTGAATTTCTAGGTTGTGGCACTGACCCTGCAAGCCGTTAAGCGCGGACAGACCCAAGAGGGGCTCCAGTCAGTTAAATGGTTCCTGGGGCTGCTGCATGCAGCCAAGTGTGCAGATGCAGTTTGGGGAAGTGGGTCTGGACGACAACACTGCAAGCCAAAAGAAGGGAGGAGGCAACAGGAGGAAAGATACGGTTACTACTCAGAAACTAAGACTCATATCGTACAAAATAAGAAGGAGTTAGAGTGGAGGAGAAACAGCAGGACATAAGAGTGGGAGTCATATTCTATTCCCATTAAGAAACTGAAATAAAAGGTACAACTGCTAACCCACAAAAAGTCTCATCTACTAACGTGGCATAGCATCATAACTTGAGAATTTGAAGCTATAATGGAATAACACAGCAGGACAAAATCCAGTATCAGTCAGGAGATGAGTAAATAGCGTGGGGCACCAAACCCACAGAGATCGGACCTCTGTGGCAAGGGGGAAGAGACTACCCAAATAAAGCAACCCTGAGTAGCAGGACCCATATGTAAACAAGGCTACAAGAACACACCATTAAAGTGCAAACAGAATAAGTGACACCAGCGCCACTGGAAAGGAGCACAGAGATCCCTGAGCTGGCATCAGCCTGAAGCTGCAAACCAGCCCTGCAGAGCACACCAGGACCTGGAGCAACATCGCCACGCAGACGCAGACAAGTTCTGCCTCCTCGCTGCCTCTGAGCTCACGGAGTATTTTGGATTTTACAGGCAGTGTGTGCGGAGCCAGCTTGCGTGTCTCTGCATTCAGGTCATAGTTAATCAATTACCCATAATAGGTTTTAATAAACATACTCTTACAGAGGCATCTGGACATGACTGGAATAAGGAGAGAAACATACAGTATGATGCTGGTAATAAAAATATGTGGATCGATTTAAAAAATAATAATAAAAATCACATTATCTTTTGTACTTACCTCACCCTCCCTCAAAAAAAAACAAAACAAAAAACAACCAAACACCAAACCAACAACAACTTACATTCCCAAAAGCTCCTCATGCTTTTTGTTATCCTTTCTCCAGACTTCAATGTCCAACATATCCTTCCTGTCAGAGAAGTAGTGAAAATCAAACTGTTCCCTCCACTGAGGATTTGCACTCTTACACAGTGTCTAGAAAACATGCAGTTATAATATTTACTTTTCTTAAACGGTACTTATTTCCACAGTAAAGTACATATCAATTCTTCTACAAGAACAAGGCTGGATGCTAGGGCATCAAGTACTAAGGTCATTCCGACCAAAGCTCCCCAGCACATCACACACAGCCTCATCTTCCTTAAAAATTCTCTTTGCTCTCTCCCAGTAACGATAAATATGCAACTGTCACATGAATAAATAGCTGGAGAAACGCTGAAATGCAAGGTGGATCCACCAGCTCCACTTGCAGTGGACTGTGGTCATCATTCAACATCACACACTGGAAGAAATCAAGAATAAAGCTTTTGTGGATGATCACCTGAAAACAGGTTTGAATGAATTAATGAACCCAAACCAGTAATTTTTACCCTTCTGTGTTAAGATACAAGCAAAGAATGAGCTGCCTTGAAATTATTAAAATCCAGTTAATTTGATATCTGTAAATTGTCCCTTTGAGTTTGGTGAGATTGTTCATGTGTACAGGTTACTCCGAATATTCACTGGATTGGAGCTTAAATCACCTGCAGTTCATGTCACACTACACTACGCCCCATCAGTATCAGCGTGGCCGCTGAGAGAACAGGAGATGGGATTAGCTGGACCATGACTGAGATTTCTCCCACCTCGTCTGCTTTTCTGGACCATGAGAGATCAGACTCTGTGAGTTGAATAAACTCCAGGAAAGACCACGAAGCACTGCCAATTGTAAGTGTTATCAGGGTGTAAGAGCAGCGGTCCCCAACTTCTGCTGGACCCCAGACAGAAACACGAAGCAATCAACTCCCTGCAGGCACAGTGTTTGTACTTGATTCCGCATTTTAAACTTGCTAATTTTCTGTGACTGCAAATAGTGCAGTCTCGCAGATTTATGACCCACGCTATGGACTATTAAAGAGAAACATAAAAGCAGGATCTTAACTAGAATAACGTATATTTATTCTAAAATAACTAACCCATTTGTTATTTTTCAAAGCTGCTTTTCTAAATAAAGACATTGCATCATGACTTTGGTTTGAGGTCCAACGTGGGGGACAGAGTGCAGGTTTCAGATGTGCCTACATCTGAACGTTCTGTTCTGTGAACTTGCTCTGTACATTTTGTACAGAAGGGGGGTGGTTTGTTTCCTGCTCCTCCTCTCTCCGCACTTCTAGTTCATGCCATGAACATGCTCTTGCTTTCTTAACAGAATATTATGTTAATTATAGCCCCTCTCCTTATTAGACTTTGGAGATGAAACATGTATCTTTGGGAACTCCATTCATTTCTTAGATTCCCATGAAAGAGTATTGGATACAAGTAAACACGGCCTAGAAGAATAAAAACTCAAATCAAGACCATGGAATATTCTGTGTGTTTGGGTTTTGGGTTTTTTTTTTCTCCTGTTACAGGTAACATTTTTCAAGAAAGGTACTTAAAAAAATATATATATATATTCCCCTTCACTGGGAACCATTTCAGGTCTGCTTTTCCATCATACCGAACATTGCAAGCTTAACTTCTGTATTGGCAGAGAACAAAACACATGTGTGATGCATGTAGCTTTATTTCACCTCATATTAGTGTCAAACATCCATCAGCACGATGAGCATGTTAAACACACAAACCCAGATACACACAACATTCCTAACTTTCTATTTCTATACTGGCATGTAAAACATATTAGTAAGATGTTAATGTTCCTGATCTGGTCTCCTGGTTTTGATCTCACTTATATATAAGAGATTTAAGAATAGTTCCATCTGAGGTAACAACACTGGTAAAAGAAACACTAAGTGCCTTATTGGCTTCAGCAAACTTCAGGAAATCCTTAATACTTACCTTACTCTTGTATCTTTGATCTCCCAGTTTGAGGAGAATAAAAACCTCTGCCAAGCCCCCTCCGGGGATGTTCTTCCCCTCCAAGAGCGTGATGGTGACCAGCCCGTTCCACAACTGGTTCTTGCGCAAAGACTCGGAGAGTCGCACGCTCCGCATGAAACTCGACTGAAAAGCAAGTCGGCATCATGAAACATTTACACACAGGTTTTTTTGCTCAAACTGACTGCAATAGGGAAGCACCAGAAGTAAGAGAGGCACCACAAGCTCCTAGGAGTAAGCAGGGAATGGAGGGCAGTGGGATGCTACAGATTTTCTGCCTGTACTGCGCTATGGTCAGCCCCGCGCAGGGACAGTGCTCAGCGTCAGAGCAAAACCAGCAGTGTCAGCTCAAACCACCAGAGAGGTTGACTGCGGCTAACCTGGCTGTGCTTCAGTACGAGCAGACCTCCAGCACTGAGGGCAATCTGTTACCTTGGCTCAGGAAAGGACACAGGAGAGTGCTGGGGAGGAAAGCTGGAAGAGGGGAGAAACTGAGGTAAACATCTGCAGCTACATCCACAAAACGCAGCTCTGTCCTTTCTTGGGAGACAGCCCACAACCACGAAGTCTATGGCCAGGTGAGAGGCTGAGCACGCATCTCCCCCACCTCCTCAATCACATCGTCTGCGTTAGCTCTTCGCTCTCTGCAGCTTCTGCTTCCAGAAACTGAGCTCACGAATCAAAAATACTGATGCCTGCTGAAAAAACACTGACACCACCAGGCTCTTTATCTGGAGTTATGGTTACCTGGTAGCCACATTTGTTACCTTCGCAGCTGCATCCCACATAGCACGGCTGCGCTAACAGTTTGCTAACTGGCAGTATTTTATTGCACAGAGGATGATTAAATAGGCCTTTATTTGGGGGGAGTGAGCTGGAAACATTAAAACTCAAGGCTATACTTTCCTTCTTGCAGTAAAAATCCTGCCATATTTTATTCTCGTGAAGCAACTTTTAACTCGCCACACTTTGGAGCTTCAATCATGTCATATACAGGTGGGAGCAAGACGGAGGAGATTTCACAAGTCACTTTAAAACAGGACGTGTTAGCTTTAAAAGCAAGTAAGAAATGTTGCTGCTAAATAAAACGATTGCAAAAGCACCTGATGTCTGAAGATTACTTTTTATGGATCAATTACCCAGCAACAAAATTCTTAAATCATGGGTGGTGAACTCACAAATTTTTTACTCGCTTTTTACTGGTTAAAAAACCCAACTCTTTGAATCCCACAAGCATATTAATATACTTCTATTTAAACACACCGTTTGGCTTTCCTGGCACACTGGTTAAAAATTCCTACCTTTAAAAAGAAAACGAGATTTTGATTCATAAATCCAGCTGCAATGTAATTTCTTTTTCTTTTTTTTTTTTTTTTTCTCTCTAAAGTTCGTCTTTTAGGCCAAAAAGCTAAAGCATGACTGTTCCCATGGACATACTTCAAAGTCCCGGCAGATATATTCCTCCCTAAACACTGCAACTATTTCAAAATCCTTTTTATAAAAAAGGGAGTAATGTCCACAAGGGATCAAAGGGCATTCTACAGTCTGGCAATCGCCTTAGAAAAATGGCAGTGCTTCCATGAAATATGCCCTAAAATAATTTTGCAGCTTGGTATGTCCTAATTTCGAATTGGATGTTTATCTTGGAAAGGCTTCTATCTAACTTGTCCATAAAACAGCTCCACTTAGCTCTATGAGCCCTGTGAAAATGGAATCCAAAGCTGGCTATTAAGGGGGCCTGGAGATTGCTTCCATATGGCGTAACAGCATGGGAGTGGAGGGCTAAGGCCTACAGCAGGCGCTGCTTGGCTGGAGCTCCCCATCCATCCATGGACACTCGTTGCATTACACCATAACATCTGGATTATTGCTTGTAATGTCCCTGGGAAATATCCACTTCCCATCAAAGCCTTTATCTATCTCGGTTGTACTTTGAACGTTTTAGTATTTAACATAGTCATGTTTGATGTGATGTACTCGCTGCTTTAGGACTGAGGATTTTCCTTAGCGCCCTGCCCCAGCTCCTTCCTCAGAGGAGGAAGAGGTATTTGATGTTAGTTCATGCAAAAAAAAACCCAGAAAGTTTATTATCCGCATTACAGTTTCTTTTAAAAACTAAGCATCCAGTTCCCTTCAAAGCTTCCAGGCTGAACGTGAAAGACAGTTGTTATCACTCAGTTAACAAATCAAGTTTGGATTCTTTTCATTTTTTAAACAAGACCAGTGTTTTAGGGAGTCACTCAGCATTGGGGGTCTTCCTACCCAAATTCTGTAGCCTACATAACCCCACCCTTCTAACCACTGACTTGACAGTTCAAAGGACTGTTGGGAGGTACTCAGAACAGCCCAGAACCACACAGTCCCAGGAAAAATCAGCGCCTGCAGCTCAGTATTACTAGAGCACATTGCAATGCATCAGCTCTGACCTTCCCAAACAGGTGGCCCCTAGCAAATGGTCTTGTGCACCCCCTCTCCGGATGGCTGCGCAGCTGCAAAAGAACTCTGTGCTCATCTTGGAAGAGGGGTGTGCTGGTCTCCAGCTAACAGGACCTGGTTACTTTCTGGACAAAATCAAGCATCACTTTAGAGCATCACACTGGATGGAGAAGCCAAGATGTTTGCAACTGGTTCAGGGCATGGTACTGATCTGCAGCACCTCGACACAGGCCCAATGACTGCAGTTTGCTTCCTTCCTCCCCCAGCCCAGCTCTGCCACCACCACAGGACCCTCTGCAGAGGGAGCAGCGTGGAGCCCAGGACAGCTGCTCGCCTCACGTCCCTGCAAGCCAGCCCATCACGTTAGGAACGTTTTGGATATCCTGGATATGCCCAGGTTGCTCCCACAGGTCTGGCACATCTCCTGCACCTTGTATCGTCTACACACAGCAAAGAGCCGCTCTGTGCATGCTCTGCACCTCTCCTGCCTCCCTGGGTGCTCGGCAGGCCACTCCTCTGACCACCCCAATGGAAATCCCAGGCGAACAGGCAGGGTCTCAGGTTCCACTCACTGTTTCTGGAAGGAAGCACGTCTGGGGAAACCCACATGTGTGGTAGACCCACGGGCCTGGACCATCAATGACTCAACTTTAGTGTTGCCTGGGGAAGCCTGCACTACAGAAAATGCCTCCCAAGTGACAAGAAAGTGCTATTGCATTACTTATTTTAAAAGTCTTGCCTCCTCTCTGATACTCTGCATCTACTCGTTTAAAACTGATTTACACAGAGTTAATTGATTAAACTTCACAGCCTCCCTTCGAGTTGGCAAAACTATTACAGAGCAGAGAACAGAGAAGTGCAGTAATTCATCCAAAGTTACTCAGGGGAAAAACAAGCACTGAAAAAACCCAGCCCAAACACTACACTAACCTGCCTTCACAGCGAGACACCAGAAAAGTCAAAGCCCCTCTCTACGCTGGCCAGAAAAGAAGCCTATCACTGCTTCATCAGTGACAATTTTAAAGCAGTTTTATCTCCCCAGCTCTTCCTCCTCCCTGTGACCTCCCACACACCGGATGTCTCCGCACTTGGGTACTTCAGCTCCTGCTGCTGCACCCGAGCTCTCCACAGCTGTGCTCCCAGAGTGGATGCCAGGTCCTTCGGCCCTCTCCTGCTATATTTTCCTGTAAACTCTCTGCAGTCGGCCAGCTCACGCTCTGGCTACGTCCCAGACCGAAACAAAGGTGCCTTGCAGAGGTACAGCAAAGTTGGCTGAAGCTAGGATCGGGTTATAGGGCTGGAAATTAGGAAGCAGATGCTTTAGGATGGAATTTGGCACGTGTCCTGAGCACAAGACATTGGGCAAGTTTGCTTAATCCTTCCTGCTCCTGCCCATCACTTCTTAAATCAAGACAGTCTAAAGATCAAAATTTGAGGTGTTGTGTCCAGATAGATCTGTGTGCTAATAACCACGTTTAGGAGCAGTCCATTGCTGTAAAACGGATAACAACTTGGAACAAAAAGCATCCTTCAAACAAGCCAGCCAGAAAGAAAACAATAAGCACAAGAATATCCAAAAAGTTTTACTCTTAAAAACAAGCTAGATTTTTTAAAGTCTCGAGCCCATGTTTACTGCAGATTTAGGGACTGTACAACATCAGGTAAGTGACAAGCAACCTTCTCCGAAGCAAAGAGATGGCCTGATCATAGAGCAGGACCTTGCCATGGAGGAACAGGAGATGGGTCTCCCTACTGCTTAGAAAGGACATTTCCCCAGAAAACACCCCACATATCTGAACAGAAGAATTAAAAATCAGTGCTCACAATCCCACTTTCCAAATCCAGTTCCTGTTTTCTAAATAAATATAAAAGCTTCTCACATCAACTTCCGATTTTTTGTTACTTCCTGGTTCTGGTTTAAAGGAGAAAGTTGGACAAGAACAAGCAAGTGGGCCATATTCTGTCTTCAGAGAGGCAAAACCAGGAGACAAGCAAGAATGCCAGAGCTTTGGAGGGGGAAGAACCAGCTCATTGACCCAGCTTCACAAAATCCTTTAGGAGCTCGAGTCTCCATGCTAACACCATTTGTATATTATCTCCCTCTATAGGCACCCAGCGAATCCCCTCTGGTGCATCAGGGCTGCTTTCAAATCTGTCTCTTTTCCTGACACACACATACATGCCCCAAGTTCAAACTTGTTTTTGAAGCAATAAAGAGATGCAGAAAAATTGTACATTTAAATGACACGGCGAGGTGGCCAAGTGTGAAGTGAGCCCATCTCTCACATCTCTCATTTAAAAGGATGAGACAGGACAACAGAAAGCCTGCTGCAATCCCCGTGAAGAGGTCAACGTCGAAACTGGGCCACGTAATTTGCCATTTGAGACAACAACAACACGCAAATAGGAAGACTCTTAGGACCTCTCCTCATTAGGCAGGGAAACCATTTTGCAGAGGCAGTCTCCCCTTGGGAAAGAGGAGAGGGCAGCGAGAAAGGCAAGTGAACCGACACGAGATTGCCGCCACGACGCGTGACCCTGTGGCGAGTGAGTCCCTCCGCTCCGCGAAACGCTCGGAGAGCGCCGCTGCCCACGGGGTATGGTGGGAGAAAGTCAAATAGAATGAGGCAGGCAAAAATGAAACCTAACAGCCCACGCAGAGGGAAAAAAAGGAGAGTGAGGGATTTTCCCCTGCGATGAGACACTGAGGAGCACTTGGGTCCGGTCAGCCTTTCAGCCAATTTATTCGATCAGCTTAGGCGATCAAGGTGGCAATTGCGTCGCTTTTGTTTCGGGACTGAACTGCTGCGGGTCAATCCACCCCAAGCAAACCTGCTTATTTGCTTCATAGATGTTCCACACTTAAAGGTTAGTCAGCTGTAGAAATGCTGGAAATAGCACGCAGGGCACACAGGGTGAGACTCAAGCCACCCGGGACAAACAAGGCTACTGAGCATCAGCACGCTGGGCACCAGCAGAGACAGCTACCAACTCCGTCTGTGCCCCAGAAAAACAGAAAAGAGGGGAGAGTTTGCCAATACACAGATATAAGTGTGTTTATTAATACTGCCTAATAGTATCTTCTTCCCTTTGCAATGCCACCCTCCATGAGGAAAAGAAGAAAGCTGCGCTCTTGGAGACAGCTCCCACAGAGGACAATGCTGTTCTCGGCTCCCATAAAACATGAGGGATCTGGATGTGCTGCCCATGTCTTGGGAGTCTGCCCAAACGCACAACGATTCCCTTCTAGCAGCAGTGAAAAATGTCTACTGTGTAATCAACAGAGAGCTAAATCATCCCGTTCAACAGTTCTTGCACCAAAATGATTTAAAAGACAATATTCAGTTGCTGAAATCCTTCCTGCATGCTATCTGTAACGACTGCAAGACAACCATAGCTAGGCTGGAGATCTTGTACTGCTGCTGCTTCCTTGTTGTCTGAAACGTAGCTTTTTCATCAAAAAGCAAGGGGGCTCAGAGAACACACATGAAGAGTGCAGAGTATTCACAACAGCCCATGTGAACCCCTTCGCCAGTCTGACATGGGGTGCTGACCACTTGGGGTGAAATTGGGAAGCCAGCAAGAATCCCATGACTGATGTGACAAGACTCATGTAGGGAACTGATATGGCAAATCTGCACCAAGATAACATAAAATGTTTAAATTAAAGTATAGCCAGATTTCTTTCATATAGCCAATACAGATTACAAAAAGCTGTGAAAGTTGTATTCATTTTATACATCCTTAAAATAAGTCATTTCCCCTGTATTTCTAGAAGAAAAGCTAAATGTTACAATACAGGTCAGCTATAGTTCAGCGAAAAAAAACCCCAAAAAAACAAAACAGAAGAACTATTTCAAATAGAAAACTTTTATTTGCCTAAACCTACAGAGATGAAATTTAGCTCTGTCTCAGTTCAGCTGCTCTAATGGAAAGTATATGGCCTTTTTCCCCTGCAACAACCAACCGGAGCCAGCTCAGTAGCCAAAAAAGAGACGAGTTTGTGTATCCGTTACAGAGCTCTCTCCATTTTCCCTGCCCCCCCTCCCTTATTCCTGTATCTTTATCTCGTCCAGCAGCGTTGTTTTCTACCCCATCATACTCTCTGGCTATTCCTCCATAACCTCTTGTGCCTTCCCCAGACACCTATATTCCCCGTGCACACAATTTTTCTTTCTAGCCTTTATGTTCTGCCACAAACTGCTAGTACTGCTTCCACAGACCAGAGTTCCCTAACTAAAGATGGTTATTGATGTACAGTACTGGTGTTTTAGTGCAGTAGCAGAATCAATAAACCAGGAAATACTGCTTTGTCAGATTTTTCCAGCGCATGCCGGGAAACATTTTTACTGCCTTTGGATGGTCACAGAGCTTTTCTTTAGAGATCACACTGGAGCATGAACTGTGTCTTCCCTGGGAAGAACTGAAGCTCTCCTACCCTCTAGTGACTGGAACAGAATAGAGCACAGGGTTGCAGCTCTTTTTTTCCCCTTCACTTTCAAACAATACTTTCACTTCTAACTCAATACCATGCTTCAGCATCTCTTAATTTTATTTTAACAGATGCTAAGACACAAGCCAGAGTCTTGAGAACTGAATGACCTACCAGTGTGGCTTACAGCTAAAGGTCCAAAAACCTGTATATAGAAAAATTATTCAAAATGTAATGAGATACAACATACAGCGAAAAAAATAAATATGGTGACAGCAACCAAGACAACAGTTTGGCTATTTGGGACAAAAAAAAGACCAGAGTTTAAAAACTTGGCTCCCTTTCCTAGGACCTGAAGCCACCGAGCATCGAGACAGCTATGTGTGCACGTGTGAGAAAAAAGGGGCTCGAGCTACTTTGAGTGAGGACACAGTGATTTCCAGAGCTTCAGTTAAAAACTAAAGCACTGGGCTCTTCAATTTCTCCATCCCTTTGTCATACAGCATGCAGGGATGCCTGGTGTCTCTCTGCGTGGAGTGCGGCAGGAAGGGCTGAGATATCCCTGGGACCAGAGGCCTTGCCAAGCCAGCTCCAAGGGCTGCACTTTGTACTTCTTCCACTGACAGAAATATACTTGCTGGCACAATACCTGAGAGGGTTGGCTCCTCTGCAAAGCAGACCACAGTGTAATGAATAAAACAAGAGGAGGTTAATTATTCAATTTATTTAGGCACAAACCAATAGTTATATAGGGAAAATATCAAGACGCATATGTGTTCTCCTAAGAGCCAAATTCTGCTTTTCAGAACGTTAGACTGTATAGCTCTCAAGCCGGGTACTGGGGCCTGCAGTTTCTGTATCACTGTTATTTACTCAATAGCAAATTAAAGTGTTACAGAACAAATAAAAAGATAGAGTCTTTTCCTTAGACAAGTTAAAATCTAATGCAGGAATGGGACAGTACAGGAATATAAATGTTACAATGCTGGTAATGAAAACTCCCTGCCTGGTCTCCATCCCAAAACCAAAAGGAATTTCAAAACCCACAGGAGTGACCAGAAGAAATACTGCCTCATGAAATTCCTCCCGTGGCAAGAGGCAGCCCATACAATTAGACTGGGATCCAGGAAACTCGTGTTCCACCCCAGTACCAACCACTGACCACCTTCCCAGGTATCCTTAAACAACTCAAATCCTCCACAGCTGCTTTTTCTGGTTGAATTTACACCCATTTCCTTAGCACAGACAGTTTTTCTCTCTTTCTACAGCTTTTTGCTGAATGGGGTTTTACTCACACTTGCCACTAGACTCTACCATATAGAACCTACAATAAGAAAACTGCAGCAATTTCTCATCACATTGGAAAAAAAAAAAAAGTGAAGGGTATCACAGCCACCACATTAAGACAGGTTGCATCTATACTTCAAGGTTTTCCCTTTCTCTTTCAGAGGCGGGCACAGATTTTTGGGAGGGGATTTATTTTTTCTTAAGCGAAAAATATATGGATTACCTTGGATGAAGTTCGCTTCTTCCGACTTGACCACCTCTGTTCATGGGACCCCATCATTGTACCAAAGAGAAGCCAGAGAAAGCAAACAGAGAAGGAGTAAAATGGAGAAAGTGTTAAGTAAAATAATTCAAAAACCAACTTGCAAATGTGTTAGAAAAGCTTATTACTAAGTTGGAGGCTGGATCTACAACTACATTCATCTACCTGCCTCCCTCATGGAACATAAACAACAAACTCAAAATACCTGCATTGCACCAAAAAAAAGAGGAAATAAAAAAAAAGGAATCAAGAATAAAAAGTGGAGGGACAGAGAGCCATTAGTAAGAAACATGGCTTATACTTCTGGTGCCATCTGGTTCTACAGTAAGCTAATTTAAAAAGGGAAAAAAAATCATCTTGCTGTTAAGTGCTAATGTGGACAGAGCCATTTCACTATTCTGATTCCACTGGAAATGGCTGAGCAATTTGCATTTGAAATATGAGGGCTTAAAACATCATCTTTAAAAAAAATTACAGTGTGCACCAACTCCTCTATCATCTGCGCGCTGAATGTTAACTAAGCACCCAAGAGTACCAAAAGCTGCTACTTCAAACCAATGCATTTTCTGTCTCATTGGCTAGGTGCACTTTAGCCCATGCCTCCCGAAAAATCTCAGAAGAATTCCTGAAGTTTTTGGATAAATTGCTTCTTTCGCTAAAGAATCATTCTGTCTCTGCTTCACCCCTTCCTGCAATCCAGCGACATGCCTATCCACACCATCCTTCCGTACAAGTTAGAGGGGGAATTCACATCCCAGATCAAAGCCACCTCATCATACAGATACATAAACACAGTTTTGAATGCTGTCATTAATCTTTTAAATAATCACATATTGAGGTAGAAATAACTTTACAAGTATCTTAATTAAGATTTTACACATCTCAAAAAGGCAACTATTTGAAAAATAAATAATGAACAGCAGATGTCCCACGCTGGCTTTTTTTCTTATTTTGCTTTCCAACCCCTTGAAACATTTATGCTTCCATAAATAATCCCATTCAGACTGGAATTCCATACCTATAATTCACTAATGTGCTGTAAACAGCAGCTTTAAACTAGACTGTATAGACAACTTGTAGGAAGACTCTTTTTACACTTAAAATTAGCTCTGTTTTTCAAGCCAGTCCAGGTAAATGTCTGGCCTTGGCTCCTCCCCACCCCCTAAAAAAAAGGAGTTCACCAACACAGGTAATGCTCCACACTGTGTAAAACAATAGTAGGAATCTTTAAAAGAACCAAAACCAAGTGCTAAAATCTAAGCTCCCATGTAGAAATCAGAAAAGAGTATGCTCTGGAATATCAGAGTGGGTATGGCTCCTACCTGCAGTGATGGATGCCACCCCCGATACACAGAGCACGCTGCCACAACACGTCACTGCGACGAGACAGAAGCATCTCGCTACAGATGTCTACACAACTTTTACCCAGTTAAATAAGGGGCTTTTTTTAAAGTTATGATCTATCTCGATTTCAACATTGAGTCTCAGAGGATGAAAATAAAGGTGGCATCTCCCAATAAATCAGATTATGCCAGCTCTTTTTCCTGCCCCCTACACATTCCAGCTATAAATTTGATTTCCTAAGCCACTTACGTTTCTCTTGAAGTCTCCTTGCTTGACTGCTAGACTCAAGTTTAATACAATCACTCCCATGTCATCTTCTAAACTGTTGGGATCTTCCAGTTTTAAAACCTGTTCAGTAGTTCTACAAGCAAAGGAAAAAAAATAGATGTGCATTTATTGACTCCAGTTAACTCGAGTTCATTATTAAAGGTCACGCTGAGCTGTGCAAATTTCAGCTTCTTGTGTGAAATTCCCAATATTGAGTTTAAATGTTAAAACAGGAAATGTGGAGGGTTCCTTCTTAGTTCTGACAAAATACAGCCCCTTTTTAATAACGTACTGTAGAGTTTATACAGCATTGCTTAATACTCATAACTCTCTATATGCAGATACACACCGAATTAAGTTACTACAGCTTCTACTACACAGGGAAGTGGAGTGACAGGGAAACTCATTCAAGTGAATTTTCTAACATTAATGGCTGGCATTCAACTCTGGAGATGTTTATTTTGCCTTATCTCTGCCTGTGTTTAATCTCCCTCCATGACTCAGTTCCCTCTCTGAACACGGGAATGCTGGTATTTACCTGGTGGTACTTTCTCACCGATAAACTCATTAATGTTTCTAGAAATCCAGATAAAACAGCCATGCGAGCTATAATAACCCTGCACAGGGAGAACTCATTTTCTCCAAAAAAAGTCCCACAGCAAGGGAGTATAAAAGAGAGAACTAAAAAACTTGAATTCCTGGCTTCCAGTTCCACATTGAGCCCCAGCAGCAGCAGACAAAAGGCACAGGGTTTGCCTCCGCACTAAATCAGGGCCAGCTGCAGCTGCTGCGGGGGACGGACGGCTGCAGGGGGAGGCTGAAACAGGGCACTCGCAGACAGGCAAAGTCCTCCCCAGCCCCGTTATAGACGGAAAAAGGCACCCTATGCTATATGGGGCTACAGAGGGGTCTCAAACTTCTCCCCCACCTCTTCTTCCACCTCCATAAATTACTCTGGTGCAGCCCTCCCTACACAATGCCGCGTATAGAAATTCTTATTCCTAGACACGAAAGGGAAAAGGGCGCCTTCTGCTGAGCTGGGCTCGTCCAGGTTGGATCTGAACCCTGTACGTAGCACCGGATAAAAGGATGCGTGTACAGGATTTATGTCTCATGATTTCTTTTTTTAAGTGTGCTCCCCACCCTCCTATCAAAATAAGTTTTCATGAATAGACAAATTCACAGCTAGAGCAAAAGCACTGCATTATTTTCCTATGTTTCCCAATTGAGCTGCATTAATGACCTTTAATTAAACAAATGTTTTACCTATTGAGTTCAAGTTCGGCGAGTGCTACAAATGCCGAACCCATGAAGTCTGAAGAGGTTAAATCTCGATCGTACACCTGGTAACAAAATAAAATTAATATTTATAGTTTTCACATCATAAGCCAGCTTTATCCTGGCCAATAAAGGCATGGACATTTTAAGTGTTTTCAGTTCAATTTTGTATTTGAAAGATCAAAGCTTAGATATAATTCAGGGATAATTTTCCATCTCCCTGCTTTAATTCGTATTTTAAACTAAATATTTAAACAGCATTTTGAAAGTATCCTCTTAATATTATGTAAACAGAGACATGTGTGCTGCTATGGATTGCGCCTGTTCCTTTATGCTCAGCGCGATAGCATAATGAAGCGCCGCACAAAAACCAGGTACTTCTGGCTACAGATGTTTTAGCAATTAGTGCTCGCAACTGGTAGCTTGCAGTTCTGGTAACTGTAACGTTACTCATAATGAGAAAAGGCTTTGCTACTTGTCACGGCTGCATCCCAGGTAATAATTCTGTTCAACCCAGCCAAATTACACTCTTAAAACGTGCTTATGAAACCGTGATTGGTTTCACCGAGTTTGCACGAGCGCGGTGAGAGCGAGCGGAATTTAGCTCCATAGCTTTAAACACATCCAGTCAAGGAGTTTTATTTCAACCTGGGTTTTTGCAGACGGAAAGCAAAACACGCGAGTAAAACCTGGAAGAGACATATGTGCGTTTTAATTTGAAATTGCTGAAACTCTTAAACCGGAGAGTGTTTTATGTTACGCTGCTACAGCGAGTAAAAATCAAGACATTTTTAAAGCAGAAAATAATTACTGAAGTAAATATTTAGCCATCTTTCACAAATGTAAAACCAAAACTTACTTTGATCCAGAGTTTTTGATCGAGGGTCTGTATGGGCAGCACAACGGTCTCATCCCAGACTGGGTTGAGGTTCTTGTAGACCACCTTGCTTTTGTACAGAGTCTTCCCGTTCAGTTTAAACTTCACATATGGGTCACTTGTACCTGTGATAATTAATAAGAAATAGATTAGCACTGCTCCAACGTAACCCCACAATCTCAAATTATATTTTCATAAAGCAAAAAATTACAATAATAAGTAGTTTATTTTGTATATACATGCACATACATAATTAGCTACATAAAAATTCCTAGTTCATAGAGAAAATCTATTGAACAGAACCAGAAAGTTGTTTGAAAGCAGGCAACGAAAATACTTCATAGTTTGCTTGATCTCCACTGTGCTGTTCTTAAAGAACAATAATTACACTTTAGTAACTTAGGTAATACTTTTATTTGGGAAAAGAGCACACAGAAGCAGGGATGAAGGACGATTTGCAGGCCAACTAACACCACCGAGAGCAGAAGAGAGAAAATGTGATCCTGCGACTACGAATATATCAAAAGACCAAAACTCAAAAGCATCGTAACTTGGAGAGGGGCTCCAAGGAAACCAGTAACAATAGCTAAAATACCCGTCAGGATTTCATCACCGGTCTCACTTGCCAATTTACTTAAATCCAAATTTGAAGTTTCAGTGAAAAAATACTGACAGCATTCACCAGCTCAGGATAAAAACCACATGCACAATAGACTCCGTAAAGACCACAAACAATATTCAGGTAGCACATTCTTTAATCCAAGCGGCACATTTTGCCATGGCAATAACATCCCGTATTTTTATGGAGCAGATGTCCATGGCCAGAGCATGAGGCTCGTGCCGCTCGGCAGCAATAGAAAGACTTGCAGCTGTCAAAGGAAAAGAGAAGAGTGAATCAACTTTGTTATTACTGTTATTAAACCAGTGGCATCTGCACTAACAGCAACCACTGTGCAGGACACCAGACAAAAGAAGGACAAGGTACACAAAGGATTTAACTAGATGGTTGAGTTAGTAACGCAGTGTTATGTGAGCAAACACATCGTTTTGGGGGGATTTTTTGAGCCTATGTGTTAGTATCTATTTGGAATGATGTAGCACTGCAAAGAATTGTGCTCCTAGGACATATGGACTTATTTTTAACAGTTACAGAAAGTTTTTATTCTGTTTTAATTTCAAAAGAGAAGAGTTGTAGAGCCCTGCCAAATCTGCACATAGTGTTTCACTCACAGAAGGAAAATATCAGTTTGGTTTTCAAATACCACCTGCAGCTGATACTGTTCCTAAATAGTAATTGCTGAAATCAACCCCTTTTTGTAAAAAATGCTGCAAACTTAAAAAGATGTTTATTTTCCTTGTCCTTTAAGAAATAATAATAAGGGCCTGCTACAAAGCCAGGGAAGTCAGAGGGCCGCTTCTCTTTGTTTTCAATAGGTTGGGACTAGACCTTTCCCTAGAATGCTTCTACAAAACTATGATTATACTCTTATAGAAAATATACAGTTTAAAACCAGCAGACTTTCCACAAGTGGGAACACACAGAGAAATCGTAGCCCCACATCGCAGGCAGTAGCCCTCAGATACTATAGAAATAGAGAAATAACCGCATTGAGCTCTTTGGTGTTAGTTGCTTCCAGTTCCTTTAAGAAGAAAAAAGGAAAAGAAAAAACAAAACAAAGCAGACCTTTATTTAAACAATAAGCAGGAGCAAGCTGCAGCACTAAAAACAACAATAGTAGTAATGTCCGTAACCTATTCAGTGCAAGAAATAGCAACTGACCAAGACAAGGAAAGCAACTGATGAAATGAAAGCACGAAGAGGGCGATGGAGGCAGGTGGTCTATGGCCACAGCTCATCTGCTCTTGGCACAGAAAACCCATGAGCGAGGGCAAAACCCAGAAAGAGAGCAAGAAAGAGGAGACAGAGAAAGCAAACAGCCAGCAATTCAATGTCTGTAAGTATAAAAAGTCCAAGCCCTTTCTCCGAGGATGAGAAGCAAGACTATAGCTAAGTAAGCATCTCAATTGCATTATTGCTCTGAAAGCTTTCCAGGTTCTTATACAGTAAAGGAAAATAAGAGGGGAAGGGCTGCCCAGCACTGTTCATGTGAGTGAGGCTTTAGCAATCACTCCCATATATAAATATATACAAAAAATAGGATGTCTTCATATATAGAAATATTTATTTAAAAATATATATAATAT